GTTTTTTGCCGTTTTTAGGAAAAACAAAATGGCGGGAAAAGTCACATGACCGCTAAAGTTTTTATTTCTGATATTTATTACACATGAGTTGTACTATATACCATAAAAAAATCTAGACGCCTAGACCCTCAGAAAGTGGTCAAACAGCCACTTCCGGTTTTATTTCAATCCAATATGGCTGCCAAACTAATTGGCCAATCAAAATTCTGAAAGCATGTTGCACCAGTTCACATTAGGGACTATCAGTATAGAGCATTATTAGACTATTCCATTCAGCGGTTTTCTCAAACGGCTTGACGAAAAAAGTTACGGAAGAAAGAAGAAAGAAAGAAGAAAAAACCGAACAATAAGAATAGGGGCCACGCCCTACAGGCTTGGGCCCCTAAAAATATGACTACAGTTGTAGATGTCCAAAACAGTGCCCTCACATTAGTCTCTTTATTTTTTTGACAAGGGTATAATTTTAGAAATGCATGCAAATATTTGTGGCAACGACTAGACTGTACTTTCCATATTCACCTAATTTGATTAAAAAGAAAGAATAATAGAAAATGTCCCTTTTTATGGAAATTCATTTTACCAATTTTTCTCATTTTGTAGAGTCTATTCGTAAGCCATGTGTGGAGGCTGGTCTGATTCCACCATTGGTTAATATAATGAATCATGAAGACACAGAGGTTGTATTACAGACATCAAGAGCTCTGGGCAATATATGTTTTGATAATGGTATGAGATTTTTAGAGAATACCACAAAGTATGAACAAAGGCAGTACAGAAATTGTATCAATCGACATGTACAGTTGTAGCAGAGACTGATATGTGACTCCCTGTGCTGCCTGAATGCATACTTTGCAGTATTCTCTTGATAATTTTAATCTGTTTTTCTTTTTTGTAGTAATAATTTGATTATAGCGCAAAATGGCAGCAAAAATATTTAGCATAGTACAAATGTTTGTATTTAGTGAGGAATTCTTTTTTTTCATTTCCTATGTAAATTGTTTGAAAGTCACACCTTTTATTTTGGACAAGTCAGTGTTGGGGACTATAGTTCATGTTCAGACATAGTTCAAAAACAGTTATTTAATTTTTGATTCTGTTTGTGTGTCTGTTAAAGGTTATCACATATATGTATAACAAGCACTTGCGTGTATGGTAGATGTGTGGTCTACAGTCAAAATATGTCATATTTCAATAATCCAGTATACTTTATATGCAACTGTTTGTTTATATGTGTTTCTATTAGAGATGTAATAGCAAGAATTTTGTATGATTTTGACATCTATTTGGCTCGATTTGGCTTTATTTAATCAGCATTATTTTCCACTGTATGCAGATGAGGCAAGAGCTTTGATAGACCAATCAGGAGGCTTGGAAAAGTTAATGGATTTGATGAAAAATAGGTGTTTATCTACAAGTGACAATGCAAATCAGAAACTTAGAGTTGTTGTCTGTGGACATTTACTGAACCTAACAAATTCTAATGGTAAGATTTCTCTTTGAGTTCAGTCATTTTTATCAACTTTATTCTTTTCAACACTATGCTGCTACATTGAACCAAATGGACATCATTCATTGGCTACAGGTCAATTAACATCTTAACAGTAACAACAGAAAGTTCTTGTTTTTTCTAATCAATTAAGGGTGCTAAAGACTTCTTGATTGTGAGACATTGTAAATAAATAAAAAGTTTTAAGTTCAGTAGGTTGGTTGGTTTATTTATTTATTTTACTCTGAATATCTGCGAGAGAAAAATGAATAGGGAGAATGACATGAAAAATGTTTTCATTCATTCATTCAATCAGAGAACTTGGGGGAACGACAGATTAAAAAAAAGAAAACAAAATTAAAGAAAAAAAGCAAACTTTTGTTTTCAAATGACATTATCCTGAAATAAAAATAATTGGCTCAAAACTAAGTGAAGAAAAATAAAGTTTGTCTGGTTTTCTACCATTCCTTCTGTTAATGGTCAGACCTTTATGTGTTTGTTTTCAGAGAGCATTCATAGTAAAATTTTCTCCCTTGGTGCAATATCAGCTTTACAAGAGTTTTTATCTAAGTTTTCAAATGACGTGTCTTTATGTGAAATGGTTCTTTTATGTTTAGATAGTCTTCTAGAAACAGGTAAGAATTCAGTTTTATTTTTCTTTAAAAACATGAGAAGGAAAGTTTTCTTGTGGTTGAGACAACTAATTTAATTTCAGTGAAATTAGTACAAAATTGAGGACTAGATTATGCCGTACTTGTCCGACTCAGCACCTATGCTCTACTAAACCTGCTTTTTGACCATTGTTTGACTTTTTCAAATACTGGTAATCAAATTTATGTAATACAACGTTGATAACGACCGCAGTGAATGCGAACGTGAAGACCAACGTAACCCTGCGTAAACTACGATTCCACAATGACCTGTCAACAACCACGAAAGACAGTAAATATTTCATTCCATATTCAGTTTATCTTTCATAAAATACTACATGTATTTACCTTATTTTTAAAAAAACATGCCGTTTTTTGCTAAAATCAATTTCCAAGAGATCATACTTCAACATCTATAATTCACTTCCTCATTGCGTTAATGCTTTTGGGAATTCCCGGAGAATCGCATCAGTACAATTTTAACACTGCATTCTGATTGGTTAATAACAGAATTGACCTAGCAGGTCAAAGGTCGATGTTGCAGGTCAAGTCATGCAGGAAAACATGGCGTACTTATCCCTCTAATCTGGCTCATGATGAACAAAATTATGTTTTGTCTAGTTGTTTGAGTTGAGTGCTTGGCTAAGTGCTCTCCTCCCCCCAAAAAACATGATTTATGAGCTGTGTAATTGTACTATTCTGTTTAGTTACAAAGAATAAGACAAATTTGAGCAACAAAATGTTGGCTTCTCTGTTAACTCACAAGCAATGATGTGCGCAAGTTGTGTCACATGACACTCTGCCAAACATGAGCCAAGTTTGCTTAAAAAGACTAAAATTACTGCATATCATGACAGTAGAATATAATAATATTTCAAGTTTTCCAGCTTCATTCTCTGTTGTTCAGTCATTTAATTTGCTATTATATAGTCCTGAATTTCAATTATGAACTAAAATGAAGGACATAACAGTTAACCTCACAATGAAAATTTCATTGGAAAATATATATATATATATATATAATATATATATTAAGTCTATCCTTGTATGATTATTTGATATTCAGTAGTGCCGAGAATATGCACAGACATAAATTTTAATCATTACTATTCATCAAAGATAAAGGTTGGCATCTCTGTGTTTGGGTGTTTATCATATTGTAGTTTTCTATACACTTCTCTGAAATTGAATATTAATGTCACTTAAAGCTAGTTTTTCAACAATTCACAGAAAGTGGAAGAATGGAGTTGTCCTCGAGTGGAATTATTGAAATCTTGGTTCAGCTTTTACAACAACATGATGATGAAGAGATTCATGAAACCATATTAGAAATTATATCAGTGCTTGCAGAGAATGGTAAGAAATGAGGCTACAGTACTCATTTCGCCCAACCTTCCGCTTTTACTGCTTTTTAATAGACTTAATTTCTGATTGCGTATGACCGGAAACCGGCCGCATTTTTAGCTCGTTCGCTCAATGAAAACACTTACTGCTCGCCCAAACACTGATCACTGACACATGAGTGGTCGAAAAGGTGGTTTTGATAGTAAAGGGTAAAAATACAACTAGTATTAACTATTATTAAATTCTGAACGACACTTCAAATCTAATAGTTGTATGACACTTGTATCGTTAACGAAAGCAACTGAACTGGGACCTCTTGTTACGTGATTTGGGTGCTTGTTTATAATGTAATAGTTTATTTTATTTTAATGAAACAGTTGCGTGAAAAAAGCATAGCTAACTCCTAAAATATTGATTAATTTCTAAAATAACCATATCAAAACCATGTCGATCCACAGGCGATAGGTCTGGTAAAATTTGACATCCAATTTCCAAAATAGCCAGCATCAGTGAATGAGCTCAATCTATACGTACTGTAAAAGTATTTCTACACAAAATATTTTCAACTAAAAATGGCCACATGCCCTGAAAAAATCGAACAGAGCTTGACACGTATGAATAATTTATTGGGCTTCAGAAAAAAAATGTGTCAAATTTAGTTATAGCCATAAATATTTGGTGACCAGTCAATGAACAATTCGAAAATCATGATTCACACGGAAGTCCTTCGGTACTGAAAATCATCGACCTTACTCTGGTTTACCTTATTTCACAACTTGAAAAAGAAAACTGATTTGCTGTGGACTCTAATGTATATCAGCCTAGTTTTTTTTCTTTATGAACTAAGGTCAAATCCCACATACACCAATGTTTTTCAGTGAAGAACAATGTGAATCAACGCCAGAAATTGTATGGTACAACAACCCTGCAATTAGCGTCAAATATGCTTTGTTACAACATCATTGATTGGCTGAAAGTCACCTGATCGGAGCACGACCTGGGTCACAGAACCATATTTGTCTGAATTAGAAACAGGACTTTGCAAGAGACCCACATTTTCAACCATTTTTAGCGCGGAAGTTGCCAACAAATGTCGAAAAACTCATGAGTTTTATGGATTCAAATAAAATAAAACGATTTCTAAGAATGATTATTAATATATTCCCGATGCTTTCAAGAAATGGCTAGTTGAATTTGCATCGACTTTAAGGCGACTGAAACAACTCTAGCTCTGTCGTAGTTTGGCAATGTATGTATATATATATATACATGTATAATAATACTTGTTTAATTATTTGGGTTTTCAGCTCACAAATTACTGGACATGATCCCCATGAATCACTATCAATGTTTGTTCAATGTCACAGAACCATATTTGTCTGAATTAGAAACAGGACTTTGCAAGAGACCCACATTTTCAACCATTTTTAGCGCGGAAGTTGCCAACAAATGTCGAAAAACTCATGAGTTTTATGGATTCAAATAAAATAAAACGATTTCTAAGAATGATTATTAATATATTCCCGATGCTTTCAAGAAATGGCTAGTTGAATTTGCATCGACTTTAAGGCGACTGAAACAACTCTAGCTCTGTCGTAGTTTGGCAATGTATGTATATATATATATACATGTATAATAATACTTGTTTAATTATTTGGGTTTTCAGCTCACAAATTACTGGACATGATCCCCATGAATCACTATCAA